GCCTGTTACACACAGCTCCACAAAATCAATATACCCTTCCATTCTATTTTCCTTAGTTAGCAAAAAAAAAAGGCAAAGCAAAGCCGTGAGCAATTGACGTATGGCTAACGCGGCGTATGAGCAATGCCAGCGCGACTTATTTTTTATGGCCTGTGCGTGCCGAGGCCGGCTGCTCGGCCTGCCGCTTGGCCTGTGCGTAATGCGTAGGCGTGAATGTCTACATTTAGATATGAAAGAGTTGTGTCCAAGTGTATGTGTGTGTGTGTGTGTGTGTGCGTGTGTGTAGGTCACAGATATTTATGTTCGTCTGCGTGATTGGCACAAAGGCTCGGCTGGTTGTTAAGCGACTTCGATTTGTGGCTTGCTTAAGATAATTGCTGATACTTCGAATGAGAAGACATTCGTGTGCGTGTGTGTGTGTGTGTGCAGTTGGCAATCCAATTAACGCGACTCGCTCCGATTTGATGAGCGCGCATGGCCTTAAAGTTGCTCTCAACTACATTGTAAGTTGATCTAGATTTGTTGCAGTTACTCCTGCTCTGCTCTCTCAAGGTACGTCGCATTAGCGCACATAAATAGCTCTGCCACCTGCACAAAAGAGTCCTAAACTGCGCGAACGGGCAGCGAGCATCACAATAAATTGTTCGCATTGCATTTTGTTGCAGCCATCATAAACCAAATGGCAATGCGCACGTATCAAGGGGAATGCAATAAATGCAAAGGCGCTTCATAGCCCACACTCACCCTCTCACTCAACCACCCACCCTCCCGCTCGTTGGCCGTCGACAATTTGAATTGTGGCCAGGCCGCCTCCTGCTCGACTTATGTTTGTGCAGCGGGCGCTGACAACTTGAGCGCTCATAGGAATTGGCATGGAAGAGTTTGGCTCTATCTGGCGCTCGCCTTTGGGTCGGAATCGGCTTAAGCACTAGAAAAGAAACAAACAAAAGCCAGTGCGCCATCATTGTAACGGGGCAATGGGGGAGCGGAGCTCAGGCAAGCAACAAACCAAAAATAATGTTGAACGTGACTTTTGTGATTGTTTGCAGCAACCAGAACAGAACTGAACAGAACAGAGAAGAACAGAACTGGCCAAGGAAAAGAGTCAAGAATTTTCATAAAAATTTGCTCGACAAGTTTTTCGGGTAAAATGGAAAGAAATGAAAACTTTGCCAAGCACTTTCGACTATGTGTGTGTGCCTGTGTGTTGGTGTGTGTGTGTGTGTGTGTGATAATAAAACTGCAACTTAAAGAACTTGACTGCAATTGTTTCTGGCAAAGATGTTGAGTGACTTTTACAACATCCACTACTTCAGCTCACATCTCGCATCTCACATCTCCACCTTCACTTCCATTTTCCACTTACATTCTCATGCGTTCAGCACTGGTTGCGTATGTAATCATCAAGTGGAGAATGTTGCGATTGTTTCTAGATATTTCATTGCTTGTTTTGGCTCTCGCTTATGACTTGTGCTTTTTCCATTGCTCTGCGTCTTGGCCAAAATTACATTTGAGGCAACGCCCACAGCCAGTAGCCGACAGGCTCTTAGACCTTAGACTAATAATGAATATACTTCTATTACCACGCTGGCCACTCTGCTGCTTCTCTTCTTCTTCGTCTTTTTCTATTTTGAGCTACAGAAATTATCATCAATCTTAATTTTTCACTCAGCGACAGCCGAGAATGTGAAAATCTGTAAATCTAATTGCCTTCACTTTGGGCAGCCTTGTCGAGTCATGGCTTTGTAATTTATTTGAATTTCCATTTGCCAAAATATATTTAACAAACATTTCTCACTCTCTCCCTCGTTCTCTCTCTCCATCTTTCTCTTTGCAGTTGCGCAACTCCTCGGATACGCAGGTAATGCTGCGACGCGTAACACTCCAAAGTTCTGGCGTCTATCGCTGCGAGGTCTCCGGCGAGGCGCCCGCCTTCAACACCGTCTCCGAGTCGGAGACAATGACCGTTGTGGGTAAGTTGCCATCTCTATTGAAAACTGTTTAAAAATATCCGCACTCCCTGCCACGCTGTCTCCCTCTCTCTTACTCCCTCTCTCTCTCTGTCTCTCTCTATCTGTGTGTGGGTGAAACAACAAAAATTTAATTAAAATGCTAATGGTTCACAGCAGTCGACAATGTTGTTGAATAAGAGCTGCAAGTGAGCTTCACTACTCCTGCTGCTGCAGCTCCCGCTGCTGCTGCTGCTGCTGCTGCTGTCCAAGCTACTGCAAAAGATGTGCAACAATCGAGCTGATTTTCCATTTTCAATGGGTTCAGGGTATAAAAAGAATATATATACATATTTATAAATAAAATTTGAGAGTGAGAGTCAATAAACTATACTGTCTAAGTAAAGTTATTGTTATTATTATTAGTATTATTATTATTATTATTATTATTATTATTATTATTATTAT